AAATGCCTTCCCAGTGACTTCTTGAAAATTGGATAAGGCGGTTGGCCTATTCTGGAAGAGATACCTTATATTATTCAAAAATATAAATCAAGTTGTAAATGACTTTGTACCTATCCCAGTTACAAATTGTTCATGTGAGAGACATTTTTCGAAGTTGAGTTTCATCAAAACCATAACTTAGAAGCACAATTCTTCAAGACCACTGGGAAGCATAAGTTTTAGCTATAATTATTGAACATGAATTTTCCTACAATATTATTAATTATTATTGATGACATACCTAGTTGAAAATTAAAAATAGGTACTAATAATAACCTAGAAACTAGAAAAAAACATTAAGTAAAAAGTGACATACTAAAATACGACAAGAGTAAAAAACGACGAAATAAATAACGTCAAATGTATTTTTATCTAAAAATCACAACTGTCTTATATTTAGTATTTTCTATAGATGTTAAAAAAATTTGACAACGTGAAATATATCAATTAAAATATTAAACGTTTAAGATTGACACAAAACGTATGAAAGTTTCAGTTTATATTCGTTATCTTATCAACGTTATCCAGAGTTATAAATTTTAAACCTTCATTACACACAATACTAAATAGATTATAAGTGCTCTGTTATAGGACTTTGTGTATATTTGTCTGCTAAATATTTATCTACGACAGTTATTTGGTATGGGTTCGATGCGACGCTCGGCCAGCAGTAATTTGTATTACCTATTTAGTGGTGATTATATATATTCTATCAGTATAATAACTTATAATAATAATAATAATAATATGCAATGTAATATATATTACTTATAACCACTTATAACTTTGTGGTATTTTCTGTGTCGTTTTTATTACCATGAAGCTTTTCACTCGATGCTTTATTCTGCGTCGTTATTTCTAATGTCATTTTTTACCGATTACCTAACCTGTAACCTAACCAGTAGATAGGCTTAGAGAGCCTTAATATTAAGGCTCTCTAGATAGGAGTGTGGAATTGTAAAAAAAACTTTTGGATTGACTGTATTTTATAATTTGTCATTCATACACTTTTTCATTAATTACCTACCTACTTGCAATAACATAAACATTTTCCACTTTAAATTATTTTTTTTAAATACTAATTTAATTGTATATTTTTCATATTTATACGATTGTAATTGGTAATTACTTACTTTCAGTTTCAAATAACATTAATGCCTTAGTGGTTTGCTTTATGTACTAGCATTTATTTAACTTGACAGTTGACATATTTTATAGTAGGTACCGGGGATTTTCTAAATTTTAGATGTTTGCATATTTACGTTAAAAAGTCATAGGTGTAGTATGTTAAAACGAAAATTGTAAAACTTGCCTCCGCAGCTATGGAAGTTTAGACACGCCTATGCTTATCATGTAGTGTTAGTATGGTGATAGGTAATGTATCGCTGATCAGAACAAATAATTAATAAAACTATGCTAAATAGGTATACTATATTATAATGGGGTGGCATTAACCAAATTGTATAACCTCGTGATACCGAACGTGTGCTGGAACACACGAACAGGTGTTACATAATAACAACTGACCTAACCTTTGCTCGGAGACTCGGGACAGTGGTTTGGCAGTTGGCAAGGATGCTATGGTGACCGGGTGTGATGTGGGTGCCTGGTGGAAGTTGACTGGAGAGCTGTCCGAAGGTGGCACAGAGCATAAGAAGTGGGACGGGACCGGTATCCGCAATAGCACAATATTGGACAGATTCGATTAGTAAGTAAAATAATTAAGAGTTTTGACGACTGAGCACAACCTTTGACCAGAACAGTACTATTATATCATCGTCACGAACTTGAACAGCTCGCAAATCCAAACCAGACTAAAGGCCGTGTGGAACTATAACCGGTGGATTAGGCCGAATGCGGAACAGCGAGGTTCTCTCGTTATCTAGCATTTTCGGCACATGTACTTATGTGTATATATGTATAATATATGTATCCATCGCAGCTTACCAACACAGGCCATCAATAAAAAAATTTGGATAGCTATTTATTTTTTAAAACTATTATTATAGTATTATAGAAACTACGCGTTTTAAAGTCGATAACACGACACAGAGTATCAATATACGCTTTTTTACTCCTCCTAAAAGACACCTGAGAGATGGCAAGCTAGGTCCAAAACAATGAAATATATACAATTTATAAGGGAGTACTGAGTACAGAATATTATTCAAATGTACCATTGCCGTTGACACCTGAGCACCTTTACTCAGTACTCACGTATTCACGAATTAATACACTTGTTTTTAACTTGAAATAAAACTATCAATACATATATTGTTGAAATTGTCTTCAACTGTTCATTAAAAAACCGACCAATATCAGGATACCTAGGATCTTTGGCAGTCAGAGTCTAGAAAAATATGAATTTATTCAATCGTTTTTCCAAGTCCAAAATATTATGATTTTACCAAATAGTCGACTAAAAAGAAGGTGTTTAGTTTTCAACTACTATAGTATATGATCCGTTTCTATATAAGTCTTACCTATACTCTGAAGTTTGTAGCTACTATTATTGATGTTCAAACGATGACGCTATAATTATTGTGTTGCCATTGTTCAAGCCGACGAATGTTATACAACCCACAAACATATACAAATTTTGTGTATCTGAGGTAATCGAGTGAAATCATTTCATCGTCGTACAAATAATATTATGATTATATTATAAGTCTACAAGTATGATGTATGCAAACAGTTTTGCGTAGTGTTGTGCATTTACTGTTATCGATTTTATTAAGTATATAATCGAATGTTGATTTTATTCGATTATTGACCCTCATCTTTTTAACTGCATAATAATTTCCTTATTATATAAATATATAACCTGTCTCCCCTTTACTGTCTTAGAATATTCACTTATAATTATTATTAGGTCAATGTTTGTCATATGTTTTAGGTTAATGTTATTTAGCTTCACTGGGAACAACAGCTGACCAACTCAAAGTTAATTTATTATATAACTGTATACTACTATACTGCAGTATAGAATATATAAAACATTTTTTAATTGGTTTTAAGTTTTGTAACATGTGTTCTATTGTTGATAATTGAAGATACTACATGTTTTTATACCGTACAATACCGTGCAATACATTATACCATTAAAATATAGTACAATTGGTTGGTACACAAATAAAATGGTGTGTGTTAACAATCCTCATATGATATAATATTTCTACTTGTCATCGGTTTGTAATTATTATACGATACGATCATCTACGGTCAGAGATAACGAACGGAGTTGGTGTCGCCAGCTTTTTCAAATCATGTTATTAGATAAAAACAAAGTTATCAAATTCGATCGATCATTAATAATAGCCATATAGTAAATGGAATAATAGGATTTTATTTTGTTTGTTCATAAACTTAGTTGCGTGTACGAGACATTTCGAGCAGAATGCACCCACCTATATATTTTGCCGTGATGTAAATGTACAATTTGATTTTTTTACCGATTAAAGTCTAGCAAGTGGTCGAAATCTTTCAAAACAAAAATTGAATTCCCTTAGACGCACGGCGAGTGGTATAACTATCCATATACATTATTCTGTCGTATACACTTGTGCGTTTTTTGTGTACCTACCCTTGTACATAACTACTGTGTATGCATGTTTGATGTGCCTACGCAAATACGAACGCGAATCAAAGGACTATTGTGAATAAACGGCAATTTAGCTTTGTACACAAAGAGTGCACACATACTCGTAAAAGGGTGTTTTATTCAACGGCAATATAATATGCTAACTATTTACAACGCACCGGTTATATTATGCGTAGGTAGGTATACGAAAATTATTGTTTAATGCAACAGCAATACTAACAAGAACAACAATAATAATAATAATAACAATACATGTGTGTATAATATTATGTTATAGTATAATATATATTTTATTCGATTTGTTTAAAAACTAAAAACATTCTCCTTCAGTGGTGCACAATATAATATTATACGTATAACGCTTTATGTTTATTTTATATTGCCTAAGACCTTAAGTTCATAATGTTGTAGTGAAAACACACTCGAAAAAGTCATGTCTTGACGATTAATAATTATAATATTAATATGTGCGTGTATCTTAAAGATATTATCATAATATAATATATCGATACGTGCCAACGTTACCACACGGAACTCGCATCAATATCAATTATTCAACAAACTAGAACTTAATAAGTATGTGATTAAAATGTCTGCCAGAACAGAAAAATCGTATTGATCTAGTTATCCCACAATAAAAGGCAATATTTGTCAACTGAAGTTCTCGAAAAAAAATATGTTTTTATTCGTGCAACATCTAACCAACAGTATTTTATAATATTTTAATTATGATGATTTTACATGGTGCCACATAACAATAACAATAGCAAAATATAGTTATAATGACAATGAAAATTACACCTAGGAGTAGGTATATAAAGTATACGATCAATTCAAAGCTGAGCACTAACTAATTAGAGACACAGTTATTTTTTTGGCAACTTATTAACTTAATCGATAACATTAACTAAAAGTAATTTTCTGAAGTTAACTTTGTAGTTACAATACTGTCTGAACTGTGAACTAATGCGTTAAAAATAAAAACGGAATTACACAATTATTGTTCAGTATACATAGTTATTTATATATTATGATTCGGGTTAATTTTTTATTTCAAGTTGTTTTTTTTCACATTTTTTAAGCACTTATATAGAGTTGTATGTACATAGTAATATTATACTTTTATGTAATGTATTTTATGATACCAACTGATTTAAAAATTTCTTTCGTTAAAAACTTTTTAAAAAAAGTGTAATATATTACAACAACTTAAATCTAATTTTATTGATTTTATAATGATTATTAACTTTTTTTTGGTTAAAAAAAAATGACTAACTTGCCCAGCTTTGCTAATAACACATAATATATGCTTACATAATACACACTAAACTGTCAAATTGATTAATAACAATCACAACAATATTAATAATAATTAAAATAATAATAATAATAGTAGTAGTAATAATACACGTATTTGGCACATAATTTACAGGCTCGCATCAAATCGACAGAAAACAAACGGGAGCAGAATGATGAGTCCGGGTCACATGAACGAAGTGAATAATTTAAACATTTGCCTTGTGTTGAATCTTCATTTTTTATACTCTGAATGACACGCCTTCACGTCCTTTTTACTCCGACCCAGGTCCATGGCCTTTCGGAATATGTTCTTTGCCATATTTTCGCCAAAGTGTTCGGTGGGGCTGTAAAATTGAAATATTACTATTAGATGTAAAAAGTAAAAAACCAGCACACAATTGTCATCATCGATCGTTTATAAATTATACGATCGGCGAAGTTGAAACAAAAATTAAAATAAATTGATAAAATTCCATCATCGATAGGTATTAAAAATTATATTGCTAAAATTCTTGTCTATTCTCATTAACAATTAATATCATATCGTATAATAATAAATACCTACATATTAGTCACTTTAAATCTAAAATCAATACCATAAAATTATTTCTTCATTTATTATTAATCTTTGTCAGCTTGAAATAGATGTATTTCAAAATCTACCTACGTACATTTGGTTACATTATAGTTTTATTTGTATTATACGAATTACAAAAGTTCCACAGTAATATTATTATGCTCATTCTATCAGGCATTGCATCTTTAACCTTACGAAAACCATAACATCTATACCTAATGCACATTTAAAATCTGACCACTCAAACTCTAAATATCATATAGTTTTGAAAAAAAATCGATATTTGAAGTTTGAAACAAAGATAATATTATAAACCGCTTAAGGTTTTTATTTAAAATTAATAACTTGGGGGTTTCAATTTCGATTGTGTTTTTTACCACAATAAACCCATCTTATTTCTACTACACAGAATATCTTAGTCAACGGATAAGACTTCTGCAAAAAGTATTTGAATTCATCATAGAATTTACTTGAAAACGACTTTTCCACTTCTTTGAAACAGAACCCCTTACAATTTCAGTTTTAAATTTTGAATATTAAGTATTTTAAAATGATAATAATATCGAAGTGAAAAAATGTATTTATAAAATGTAAGTCGTTTTCAGGAGAAATTCATTACGAAATTAAATATGTTTTCATAAATCTTATGGGATAAATAGGTTATTTAGTTTGATTATTCAATACAAAAAATAATAATAATATTTGCAATTAGTGTAGTGCATTATTGACATTGACGGCGCACCGCTATTTCTCTCGTCACATACACTAATGATCACCTACGACGCACATATTCACACGACAAGGGACAAAATAAATTGCCTATATTGAACTCCTTAAAGACAGTCGGTATTGAGTCCCCTTACATACGTCTTGAATCCATAAATTAAAATACGACATTTCCAAATAATATGTATTATGAAATACTTTTTACAACTCATTACATTTAAATGTGTAGCGTTTTATAGCATTTATTATTCAAGTTAATGTTATACTGACCTATTTTAAAATGTGGTTGTATTTCATTACATATTCGACATATACGAAATCTACAAATCATTATAATTGTAATACTACATTACTACTTCAAATGCTGAAATCAAAATAAGGCAATCTCATATTTTGACTTCTGTGATTGGTTAGATAATTTAAAAACGTAATACTATCAGTAAATAATATTATACGACTCTGTTGCTTTGATAATAATTATTCACATATTTTCATAATTTAAAATTCAATACCGACAGATGGTTTTGATGTCCAATCGAAAATAGTGTTAAATTTATTTCAATATAATAACATTTCTTGCATATTTGTACAGAGATCATTTTAAACGATGTATTCGAATGTATTGTTGTCTTCGTTGTAAAACGGGCGTCCAGCAGCCGATATAAGGTATGACACTTGAGATAGGCATAGAAACGCCATATGCGGGTTATTGAAATTTTCTTTGTAAAGATGCCAAATGTTATTAACGTCGGGGATAGACAAGGCTAGGCCAACAATAAAATAGTTGATAGTAATTCTGAGAATAAGACAAGAGAGGTCGTGTTGCGAAAAGAGTACGAGTAGGATAAGCGAGTTTTAAAAGAATAATAAAAATACGATCAGTGTTATTACTTGGCAGACAATTAATCAAGAATATTCGAATAGCCAATATTGGGTATATTATTATGATAGTAGAAACTGCGCATAGTAACGTCGACAACAAAACAACACGGAATTTCGCGGCGTAAGAGCGTGGGCCGATGGCATTTCCTGCAGGACCTTGTACGCACTCATACGATATTAAATTGGGTCAACACTATATTGTGTCAATAGGAGAAGAGTATTAGAGATTAGGACGATATAGTAGAGACTCGGGCGAGTGGTATTCAGAGGTGAACTTACTGTCCGAGTGAGTAGGAGCACATTCAAGCCAGCAGACTCTCTGAAAAGTATTCAACTACATCAGAAATCTTCAAACAGTTTTAGGATTGCAATAAATCCATGTTCAAAAATTAACACATAGGCTCGAATTATTAACACCTTGTCCATCATCATCGTATACCGGTATACCTAACCTAACCTAAGCATCTTTTAAGCAATATCTCTACACAGTAGTAGAAATATATCATTACAAACAATTTTGAGTTGAGGTTATCTTGTTCTAGGTACGCATTTTATCACTAATAATCATTATTTAATTATTTAAAAATATTAATGTATTCATATAGAAACATAAGGATAGATACATTTTAATATATGTATACTTAGATGTATGATGTTCATGTCTATGTTTCAGATGAGTTTTTTAAATTAAATTTATGTTTAAACTTTACAGAAACAATTCATAAACGTATTATTCCCTATGGACGAAACAAAACAAATTTCAGAATATTGGAAAATGTCTATATTGTATGTATGCATAAGAATTTGAGTAAAACATATCTTAAACATTTAAACATTTCTGAATAACATGAGATGGTCAAAGAAAAATAATTATTATTAATATAATTTCATCTTTCTAATATCATTAATACACTATAAAACAATAAACAAATAATTCCAAAAACAACTGTATCCCTCTCATAAATACATAGTTTCATGAAAAATAATGGAAAAAAACGTCATAGTACGTGCAAATCAAACAATAAAATTATAAGCAAGGTAAAAATAAACTTATGAATGTTATGACCATGACATTTTTTATTTGATTTAAAGATCATATTGTACGATAATATTATTTCGACAGTTTTTAAAAAAATGTATTTTGAAATGAGGCTTTGAGAGTTTGAGATTGAGACCATAAAATAACGTTACAGGCCACTGTAGCGCCGTTGTGTGTCGGTAACTCATGGTTCACCGGTGCGACTGAAGTGCTACGCCTCGTCTGTACATACAATCGTAAGTGGTTATAATTATATTTTATTATTTTTATTTTATTTTGACACTTTTTGAGAGGAATTAAATTCAATAGTGCATGTTTGTAATTATATTTTGCATGTTTTTGTATAACTGAGTATTTGAGTACATTATAATTGCATATTTTCTTATTGTTTATTTTAAATATTCTGGTTTAGGCATTATTTTTAATATTTTTATGGTTAATACCAAAACAATTGAAATCAATTTTAATGACTTGTAAAAGTTGTATAGGTACTAATAGTATCGTCATAATTTATCTTTTGTTTGAATAAAGGATTTTTTTAAATACGCTTTTCATAATTCATTAATATTTATAAATTATATTATATTAAGTAATTTATCGCTTTGTTGGCAATTTAATGAGGGGACTGAGTAAAATATTTTTTATATGATACCACACACGAAATATTTATTTTTAATTATTTATTCATCGATTTGTACCTAACTAAATCATAATATTATTTATTTAAGCATTGTTTGATAGGAATAATTGCAGGAATATATTTTGTATACACATTGTATACTTTAGAAAAAAAACAATTTTCTTCATATTCATTTTTTTTCTGATTATAATATAGAGGATTTACGAACGGTTTTATACAGAGAAGGTAATCTATTTTTTTATCACTAATCGATCATTTTCCCGAACAATGAAAGTGTACATTTAATTTTTTTTGCATAATTTGAAGTAATTACAACACAACGTCCGGTTCAAATTTTAAAAAGTTAAATATCTAGGTATTTAAAAATGATAAAAGTAAAAATCGTTAAAAATATAAAAATTTATTGTAAAATCGTTATGTTTTAGTGACTTTAAACAGTACTTTTTTTTTTCTTAATTCATACATAAACTTTCAAAATGACTATTTAGGGCTATGTTCTTACTTTACTTACATTATATATTACTATATTATCGTGCACATTTGTAATAATAATATTGTTTTTATAGACTATTCAAAGTTACCGTCCGCAGTACATTTTCGAGAGTAACTATATACTCTTTCGTGGTCAGACATTTATTGTTTGAAATAAACAATACTCAACTGTAGTAAGTTAACCACCGTCATTTTTGACACCCTATACTATGATATACGGAACTTCCTCCCTTGAGGTTTTTTTTATGACATAGCTTTAAATCTCAGTGAAGTCCATTCTAAATGTTAGGTCCGAGGAAACAAAAACCACAGACCTGACGACGAATGGCCGAAACTACGTAAAAAAGAACACACACACACCGGACATTTTGACAGTATTGCCAGCGTCAGGATTTAGGGTGCTAGGAGCTTGGGGTTGAAAACTTTGCCTTTATTAATTGCAAAATGTCTTTAACATGAATAAAATCATAACTTTTTAGAAACACTCTATGTTTGGAATACATGAAATTGGTAAATTATAATTATAAAAGCACTTAAACAATATAAAATCCAAAAAGGATTTATGAGCTCTTACTTTTTACTAAATACATTTTCACTTTTCACCCTTTTATTCGATTACTCAAATATCTATTTTCAACGCGTTTCAAAAGTATTTTATTTTTATAAAATATGACTCATATGAATATGAATAATACAACGTATTAAAAACAAATCAAACGTTAAAAAAAAATTGCAGTTTGCAATCGTTGTTGATCAAGACGACTTTAAGTTTGTTCACACAGATCCTCCTCTGCTGTCGGTTCAAACGGGGAAAAAAAAAATAAAAAAATACGACTTTAAGATTAATAATAATAATAATCGATGAAAAAACTAACTACTTACATAGAAAGTAATTATATGAAATACTTTCACGGACGATGCAGTTATCGGTATCGTATTACGATTTTCATGCATAGCATTAATATATATTGTATTGCTATTATGAAAC